GTCTCGTTGCAGTTGGGAGACGCTTAAGTTGCTGTGTCATTGTAAGGGGGTGGCTGTTGTAAGAAAGAGGCGGTTCATGGGAAGGTGTTCTGTGTAGAGAGGTGGCCCTTCTCCAGGGTTGATCAGGAAGGTAGCCGGTGTACGGCTTAACTGCAAGTTTCATTATTTTTAAAACTTTCTCGGCGATTTTAATTGTAGTCTGATCCAACAAAATGAGATTCTTTCTAAAAGGCATTATTTGTTCCCTTTCGACCCCATAGCCTTATCAGGGAAATGGATTCACAATTATCATCGGTATATAATTACTTATCAGTATATAATTACGGCTTTTCTCTTGACAGAACAAGGCTGTCAAATTAATACAGAAAGCTTGGAGAAAGCATCGAAGAACGAGGAGGGTAATAATTTTTAGCCATAATATTCTGTATTTTTCATATTTTATCTGTAGTCCGTTTTCAACTTCTACATTTTTAATCCTCCACATAGACCAAAAAAATTGACTCCAAGGGGAAAGAATTTTGTTGTCTTTGAAAACACATCTTGTTATACCCCCGTCAGTCGGGTTTTTGAATCAGCTGTCTGGACGCATTCAAGTTACCGAAACGTTGTGAAAAGGTTGCCGTCATAAGGGGGTGGGCGTTGTGAGGTGGATGTTGCTCTTGAGACGAGGGCATTGTTGAAATATGGCGTTTGTTAAAAGTTAATCGTTGTTGAGAAAGTTCCCGTTGTAAGGAGAAGACCATTTTCAAAACATTGGCCGCAGCGGTTCTACAGAAAAAATAGACCTTTGATATCTACATAAACAGAATATGAAGTCTTAAGATGATGAAACTGGAAATTTGATGCGATAATCATGGATATTTTAGATGCTCATATTAACTGTTGATATCATAATGTTTGTTCTCTTTGCAGAATGAATGTGCGTCCATAATTCAACGGGCTTGGCGTCGACTAAAATTAAAAAGACTTGAATTTCAGGTAATTTGATATAGTAATAACAGTATGATCACAGTTATACATGGTAAATTCAATCATTTAATTTTATGGAGTGATTTCAGTTATATAAAATGGTGGGATTATTTTAAAATAAAAAGGGAAGGGGGTTCCAAAAGTTAACATCAAAAATTTTCTTTCATGTGGTTTACAATAAATTCGCTTTTTTAAAGGAAATCCAAATCGAGAGTGAGATATTTCACTCCATGTACACTGGGCTTCAACTTTACAACTCTTCAAACGTGCTTATGGTGACATCATCTCATTACAATTACAATGAAAATAAATAGATTAGAAAAAACAAAACAAAACAAAACAAACTAACAAACAAACAAACAGTGATGCTTGTGAAAAACATCCTAACCGTGACTGAACCAGCAAGGAACAGAAGTTAAATCATTTTTCATAGCGTCCCTTAATTAGGTATTGCAAAAATTTCACCCACTCTTTAGTGATATAAAGCTGACAGGGTTCTCAGCAACAAATATTTTTCTAAACTGGCCCTTGACGAAAGATGAGTCTCGTTGCAGTTGGGACGCGCTTTAGTTGCTGTGTCATTGTGAGGGGGTGGCTGTTGTAAGAAAGAGGCGGTTCATGGGTAGGTGTCCTGTGTAGAGAGGTGGCCCTTCTGAGGAGGTGGTCATTTCTAGGAAGGCAGCCGGTGTACGGAGGTGACCGTTGTAGGCGGATGACTGCAGAAGAGACTTTTCGTATAAAGTAGACCTCTATTATGTAGTTCAACATGGCGTGACGACTTTAAGACGCTGATATTTTATGCTGACATTATCAAAATTGTTATTTACTTTGCAGAATAAATGTGCCGTTAAGATTCAAAAGGCGTCACGTCTTTTAAATCTTAACTGCAAGTTTCATTATTTTTAAGACTTTCTCGGCGATTTTAGCTGTAATCCGATCCAACAAGATGAGATTCTTTCTAAAAGACATTATTTGTTCCCTTTCGACTCCATGGCCTTATCAGGGAAATGGAATCACAATTATCATCAGTATATAAATAATGCTTTTCTCCTGACAGATTGAGGCCGTCAAATTAATTCAGAAAGCTTGGAGAAAGCATCGAAGAACGAGGAGGGTAATAATTTTTAGCCATAGTATTCTGTATTTTTCATATTTTATCTGTAGTCCGTGTTCAACTTCTACATTTTTAATCACAAAGACACAAAAAATTGACTGTAAGGGGAGAGAATTTTTTGTCTTTGAAAAAATTACTAGTGTTTATTTATTCCAGACTGGACAACAAAAAAAATAAATGATTTTATTACTAAAAAATGACAAACGTGAATTGAGATCATCCTGGATTATCTACACAATTAAACTTCATCACTATATAAGTACTGCTTTTCTCCTAACAGATCAAAGCAACCAAATTAACACAGCAAGCTTGGAGAGACTACCAAACTGGACGAAGGGTAATAATTTTTAGCCTCAGTGATCTAAAGTTTACTTATTTAATCTGTAGTCCGTTTTCAACTTTTACATTTTTAAACATCCCAAAGACCAAAAAATATTGACCGTAAAGGGAGTGAATTTTTTGTCTTTAAAAAAATTACAAGTGCTTATTTATTCCAGATTGAAGAAGAAAAAAATGATTGATTTTGTTACTAATAAATAACAAACGTGAAAAAAACAATACAGTATTGAGATCATACTGGTTTATCTACACAATTAAACTTTATCAGTATATAATTACTTCTTTTCTCCTGACAGCTCAAAGCAACCAAACTAATACCGAAAGCTTGGAGAGAGTACAGAACTAGACGAAGGGTAATAATTTTTAGCCTTAGTGATCTAAATTTTACTAATTTCATCGTAGTCCGTGTTCAACTTCTGCATTTTTAAACATCCCAAAGACCAAAAAAAATTGACCGCAAGGGGGTGAATTTTTCGTCTTTGGAAAAATAACGAGTGCTCGTTTATTCCAAATTGAACAAGCAATCATTTGATTACTTATAAATGAAAAGCGTGAAAAAATGTAATTTATGACGTTTGAGTGACATGGGAACGTGCCATCAGAAATTAATATTCTGATGGCACGTTGAAGAGGTTCGCGTGGCATCATGGAAGTTTCGGATTATTTAAGCGTTTCATGGGAAAATGAAGTCATTGTTGGTCGGTCAGTATTATGTTTGACCACTTTCTTTTTTTTTTTTCCTTTTGTATTAATATGCTTTTCTTTTTCAAAGCCCTGTAAACTATTACGACATTCATTAACTTTTCTTTCTGATTAGCAGCGTAACCAGGTTAGTTTACCCTTTCCTCGGGGTATTGTGCTGCTGTTTGTCGTATCTGGCGTGGCACAGGTTCTTTTTGTAGAACCCTTGGTTTTCAGTGTACAAATGTTAAGACAATTTTAGGATGCTTATACTACAAGACTGGCTGACTCATCCTAAATAAACTTTTCACATTAATTGAATAACTCGTCTGAGTGTAGTCAGAATATAGTAATTCAGACAACTTTTCATAATAATGCTTATGCAAAGCAAGTGACTATATTATACAATGCTTCAATTAGTTTTAAATTCAATATTTCAAACTTCAATCTTCTCCTCCCCCCTTAATTTCTTATTTCGTAATCACGTGCGGCTCACGTGTGATATAATCTAACGAGATTTGAAGTTGGCATTGCCAGCTGACGCGGACACTTCCGTGTACTCTTTATTTTTGTCTCATTTTCTCAGACTATATAAAATAATTAAGCACCTTTCTAGCCATCTGATTGGCTGTGTTTCTGTAACATTTGATAAATTTATCAGTATTAAAGGCTAAGGGTTTAGCCATGAATGCAGAGCGTTCCCATGCAAAACTTAAGCCACCCGTATCACCATTCCTTGCAATGCACCAATGAAATCAATTAATTTTTTCCATTTTGCTCTGTACAAAGATCCGTAGAAAAAGAAAAAGTCAGGAGATGTCCGATTATCCTACCAAAATGCGAAGAGTGGAAGATTTGGACAACGTTGATTTCCAGGACCTATTTGAAGTTAAGAAACTTGGGGAAGGAGGCTTTGGCGAGGTAGGAGATTCTGTTATATAAATAATATAAATATAAATATATATATATATATATATATATATATATATATATATATATATATATATATTACGTCCTTTTTTCCTCTCATAATATTTATTCTGCTCTGCTTCAACGTATTGAGCACTGTTCCACGCGAAAATCGACTTGCAGACTTCCTATACATATACATATATATATATATATATATATATATATATATTGTGGGAGGAAGAAGACAAATAAACTAAAAGTTCATCCTTACAGGCCTGTTTCGTGGTTGCCCACCCATCAGGGGATTTAGGAAAATTAGAGACTTAAATTAGAGATAGTTATGACTTGTTTAGTCTCAAGGATTGATTATTTTCAAATTTGATCCATGGTTCAGTCTATCTTCAATTCTTATTAATTTCTTGGGGAAAGAGGGCTGCTGCAATGCGGAGTCGTTCGGCGTTTAGAAGACTGGGGAAAACCAAAACTAAAGGTTGCGTCAATTGATGTCACTACAAATTGCTCAAAGTACTGTTAAGCAGATTCTTTAATGCTTGGCTATTCTATTCCTACTTCAGGTAGCGCAATTTTATTGCCGAAAAACCCATGGATATTACGCAGTAAAAACCTTTAAGGAGAATGAAGCAAACAAATCGATGGTGTCGAAAGAAACATTCATCCTCCTCCACTTGGCCGGGAGTTCCAGGGTTACCCAGTTATGCCGGGCGTTTACCATCAAAGTATGTACCTAAGAAACGGCTTTTGAATACATACAGAAAGGTTGGCTACAGGAACAGATAAAACACGTCCATATTTAGGAATCTTTTACTAGCGTGGCCATGGAACTTTGCACATCGTAGCAGTAGAGTGATCATGCCTTCAGGAGGCAACAATAAGCGTGCTGAGGAATTCATTGTTTTAAACTGAACGCAAGTTGAGCCTGCCACTATCTCAGTCAGTTTTTTTTATTAACGAATAGTTAGTTATTGTTTACGAGCCAATCTTGGGGTCCAAAGGATTTGGGGGGGGGGGTCTACTTGATTTTAAGGGGGAAGGGAAGAGGGATTAGTCGTCGTTAACAGAGCATAAGGGAGGAGCTTGAGGAATTTGATTGTCAATGAAATTCCAATGAGGAAGAGTCAGAAAGCCTTAGGGAGGGATTAAATGAATTTTAATGAACGATTCATTAAGTAATTAACGCCAGTTTGTTGAAAAAAGAAACAAAGCATTAATCAACACAGCCGTGATGCTGATGTCAATAAACTAAACAGAATGTTTTTGTTTCAGCTCACAAAAACAGCCTTAGCGCTTGAGTATTTGCCCGGTGGGGACTTTGCTGGAGTTCTGCGAGCCCAGGGAGGAAAACTGAGTGAGGAACGCGCCAGGTACGATTTAAATGAAAAGAAGTTTCAACGCCTTGTGAAGGAAAACAGCTGAGCATCCCGGAAGTGTTTAAAATTGTTATCCTAATCGTCACTCATGCTCATTAAATCTTTACCAACATGTAGGCTTTTTCTATGCCGCTGTCAACGCATTCAGTTTTAAGTTTGCAGACTTGCAGTTGCTTATTTTCTTCTGACTAAGACCCAGGTTACAACTTAGAAAGTCAATTAAAAGTATTCATACGACAACGTCTGGTATTTCAGGTTTTACGCCGTCGATATCGGCCTGGGATTGAAATATTTGAATTCGAAAAACGTCATCCACAGGTATGTTTGTGGCATAACGTACTCTGGAATGTCTCATTCTGAAGAAAGATTTGTTTTTTCCCCGGTGTTTTGGAACCCTTTATAAAACAACACAGACGATATTGATAACCATAACAGTAACGACAGAGAAAATGACAACAACAACGATAACAATAACACTGACGACAAGAATAACAGGAACTAGAGGGATTATGGGAATGATAAAGAGAAATGTTTGAAAAATAACGCAGCCAGTATGCACCCATTTCTTTCCGATTGCTACAAGGATACAAAAAAATTTTCTCGTTCATTCCGGCTTAATTCCAATGTCGACTAACTTACCTTCCCTGTCTAACCAGCTTTCTTGATGCAAATTGGCTGAAACATAATGCACCACTAGCGGTCGAGAAATCTTAGTATAAAAAGAAAAAAAAAATTTGTTTTTGAAATCGAGGAGCCACAATTGACATGAGCGGTATGGGATTGGAATCGAGAAAGAACGGGTAGAAGATTTTCCATTGTAACAGAAACATTTATGCAAATCTGGTTTGCCCTGATGTAAAGTAATGTACACTAAAAATGAGTGAAAGAAGTTTTTGCCAACTTATTTCATCAGAGATCTAAAACCGGAAAATATTCTGGTAACCTCAAATGGCCACCTGAAGCTGTCAGACTTCGGTCTGAGCGAATTTGTCGTCTTTGCAGTCACTGGAGTATGTGGAACTTATCCATATATGGCGCCTGAGGTATAAGGCTTGTAGCAGATTACCCTGAAAAGTCTTTGTTCAAATCGCTACTGTTTTTTTCTCACTAATTATTTATCTTCTCTATAGGTTTTTAAGAAAGTTCTTCTTTCTTCTCCTCCTTCTCTGAGGGTAAAATGTATTCCTATAATCTTCCGCTATGGTCAATCTTAAATCAAGGCATTGTCAAACGAGACCCAACAATTTTCTCGACAATAAAGGGGTGGGTAACCTCTCTGCTTGTCACGAGAATCTGAAAAATTACGATAAAAAACATTTTTTATGCCTCTCCGCCCTCAGTTTCGGACAACAAATAAAGTAGAAAGACCCCCCTACTACACGATCCTGACCGCGCCCTTGTTAATACACTGATGTTTCAACAAAGCTCACGCAGTTGAATTTGTTAATACACTTTTTGCAATGCCAATAAACTCCACTTAATCTGTTACAGATGATCATGGGAGAGTCTTATACTTACTCTGTGGACTGGTGGTCCTTTGGCGTGACTTTATTCCTGATGCTGACCGGCAAGGTTTGTACAAATAATATTGCAACAACTCACACATTGCAAATATGTTTACATTTGTACACAATAACTCGCCCTTCGGAAGGACACAAATGCTTATGAATCAAACTTTTGACAATGAAGTAATCATTAATTGCCATTACCTTTCGTCCCGTGGGAATAGGACACCCGCCTATGGCAAACATGGTAAGGGGAGACTCCACCCGAAAAGGGGATCTGTTTTAGTCTTCAGATATCCTAAAGGTCACAGAACAGATTCCATCAAAGGGACAATCAAAGAGTTTGGAAATATTTTACCACCGAGAGATTTGGAAGACAATTAAACTTCCACTCTGATATAAATCATCAGCCCATTTCAATAGTTTAGAAAGGCGTGGAGTGATTAATTAAATATTTTCATTTTTCTGCTTATCAGCTACCATTTTATGGTAAAGACAAGAGACAACTTTTCGAAAACATCGTATACACAACGCCTGATATCCCCAATTGGCTTGGGAGAGAGACCAGAGATTGCCTTTTCAAGGTCAGCCAACGAAATCCAAAGTTATGCGATTGAAGTAAATAACTTTCTTCTGAGACAAGAGAGGATGTCCTCTTTTGTTTTAAATGATACCGATTTTCTCAAAACTATCAGACATAACCTCTGACAATTGATCTCCTTCTGCCCCACTGCAAAATTAAGTTTGATTAAAAACATTGGCATTTAACATGCATACGTGGCGCGAGGAATCATAGAATTGCTTCGGTAAATTTGACACAAAAATCTCCAAGATTCCGGCTTAAGAGGAAATACAAGAAATTTACAGATCAATATTTTCAAATTTTTCAAGCTGTAACTGACACCCTGAGGTGTTTACTCAACAAAATTTAAAATAAAGGTTATGAACGAACCAAAATTAACTGAAATCAAAATAAAAAATTAGATCATTGAGGTTTGCGGATCACAAACTTTTGCGATGAACTAGAAGGACCCACTGTAATTTGCACAACAAGTTTAAACAAGTCTTTTTAAAGTATTTCTAAATTAATATTTTTGGCAAACACTGTAGAGGAAATAGTGCACTTCATTTTTTAAGTCAGGTATTTCAATTTTAACGAAACAAATCTTTTATTTCTGTATAAGCAGCTTCTCCAAAAATGCCCGGATGTGAGGCTTGGCGTTGACAATTTTCGATACCATCCGTTCTTCAGCTGTTTTCAGTCTTCAGAACCTCTCGCAATTGCATGTGGTCCATCCGCGGTAAATACGACAGCAGAGAATGAGGTATGCGGATATCAGTGTCACTAGATCCAAAGTCAGTCCATTTTACTGTAAGGGTTTCATGGCAAACAGTGCTTCCTGAAAATTGCATCTTCTCTACTTCTTTGTAGATTAACTACATCTCTGGATTTTCATCTTTACTGTCAGACGATGCAAATATCATCATTGCAGTAAGTGTAAAATTATCTTATTAAAAGATAAAACAAAAAAATATTCAAAGCCGGGCCCCTTTTTTTTACCTCTTTGGAAACGATAATTAGCCTTAATAATTGTTTCTCTGCTCAACTTGACTCAACTTGACGCCACAAGTGTTACAAAAAAAAACTTTTCGACAAAGCTTCAAAAGAAAAATAGATAAGGTAATAAGCACCAATGAAAATATCAAACGAAAACAAATGAGAACCAAAAGTAAAGTGATAAATTTTACGGGTCAGAAGCGCGGAAAAACAACGATGATCAAGTCACATGCAATAACTTTAAGTATTTTATTTGATTGGTTGAGAAAGTAGGGCAAGTTTCCTTGGCAACAAACCTTGTGCAACTTTGAACTGCCGATCACCACTTTGAAGTAGAAGTGGTAAATATCCAGTTTAAAGTGGCTATTGCCAATTTAAAGTCGCGATCGCCAGTTCCAAAAAATGTGTCTATAGCAAAGCTCTAAATAAGTATTGTATTGTTCGGTTGCGAAAGTGGCCACCTACTCTTTTCCCTGGCTTACACGCTCTGCCCACCGACGAACACCTAAAAACGAAAAAACTAACAATGACAAGTCTACTATTCACCATAAGACAATATGCAACAAATACAAACGAACCGAAACAAACATACGCCACGTTCTACAGAAATACCATACAACATGCGTACCAAAGTTCACAAAGAACTACAACGTTCGAGCTGTGGTTGGAATATTTGCCTTTGAGTTATTTCACACACTCATAGTTCATCAACCCATCCAATAACTCATTTGTTTATCTCGTTATTAAATCAATACGTTTTTCGAATTTGTCTTTTTATCATGTTCTAGGATGACGCTCTTTCAAATTAATTACCACTGAGTTTGGGGGTTTTTCAAACCTATGTCAAAAAAGATGTGAACTTATCAATGTAAGTGAAAAGCAATTTTATTGAAACAAATGCATCTTCACTGGTTCTGTATGGATGCAAAAATAGTCTTATATCGTACATTAACCGACCTGTTTTCCAATGAGTAGCTCAAGTGTTTCACCTCTCACACCCTAACTGAGTCAGTTTGTATATTTTCCACATCGTTCTCTATAAGTTTCCTATTGCACTGGCAAGGAAAATTTTTAATGAAAATCAACTGACTGAGTGCAGTTTGTTGTGAAATCACACGCGTGATTTCAAAATTGAACGAGCGACGACTGATGAATGAGTGAAATACGAATGAAATAATCATAATGTTCGTAACAAAAACTGCATTGATTATTGAAAGCTAACCGTAGCTTTAGCTTGTGGTAACTCATAGAAAGTTTTTTTTCTTCTTTTCAGATGTTCAACTGAACTTAATAAAAGATACTTTCGATCGAACTTATCAATATGTGTGTCTTGTTTGTTTGTCACACCAATAACTATCCATTACGTGAGATTCTCCTTCTCCAATCAAAACTTATGGCAAATAACAACTCCCTTGAGAAACTTTAAAAACAGGGAGCCTTGGAACGTAGAGTAAAATCAAGTTGCTGCTAATAACAGGGACTTCTTCTTATCCAGCGTGTGTCAAGCTGCCGATCAGTTGAGACAAGCAAATAGTGGGCAGGCGAAATTGGCGAAAGTATAACAACATTTTTCCCTGAAAACAGCTACGCGTCTTGCTTGAGGTGCTTGAGAACGAGTTGTGTGCCATGAATCAGCGGTTATTGCGCGTAATGGCTAACGTAAAATTAGACTTCTCTTCGTTCAAGCGTTTTCTTGCGAGAATTCATAGACTAGAAAATAAATATTTGTCTCTGCGACAATGGTTGGAAAATAAGATGGCTACTTGCCACCGACCCCGCGACATACACTGTGGTCCAACAAGAAGAAACGACGAACTTAAATTCCACGAAAATCGAAAGCTTGTATTTGCCACCATGCAATTATTTTGCGCTCGCGAAAGTGGATTTCAGAGACTTTCAAACCCCTTTCGCAGACTCACTTGGGTAGGTAGGTCTGAGGGTTGATTCAAGTAAACGAGGATAAACTTGTTAGTATTAATTTCGGACAAGTTTACCTTCTCACTCGAATGAACCCTAACTAATACAGGTTCCTAGCAAATCAACCCAAAAAAATGTTGGGACCTTAAACACTGAAATATTTTTTGTTGTTGTTGTTGTGATGGACAATTTTTACTGTTTGGTCTATTTCAGGTTCCGCTGGTTAAAGGTACCTTCAACTACAGTGCTTAGTATCTTCAAGCTTTGCTTAAATTTCTATGGAAATCTTGATACATGTATATGGCTACAATAGCTTTATATAAACCTTAAGGCAAAAACCGATTCAGAAAAAAAACAATTGTAAAAACATTTTGGGAAAACGTTTTAAAGGTGTATCAACTTGAACGTAAATGTAACACCTAAAAACTTGTTTACAGATAACAACCTCGTTCATGTTAGATAAAAAAATGTGATAATGATTTCAAGACATCACTGATTAAAAAAAATTACTTTTAAGCTACTTCAAACAATTCATTAAAGATCAATGCAAAGTCTTTTTTCTTCGGCGTGTCCAAAATCCTAATAGCTCATAAGAGTATTTAAGACAAATAGAGAATCAACTTATAAAAAAAAAATCCATATGGGCTCTTGAAGGCTCTTTCGCTTCTCCTGCTCTCAGTAGTGGACTCTTACAGAGATTTTATAGGTAGCCTTGTGGTTTCAGTTCCAAATGTCAACGTTTGCAAGCAACTTTTTACTTCCTTGGGTTTCATATTTTCTATGATGCAGCTCCAATTCTCACTGCCTTAACTGAAAAGTAAAAAAGGCATAATTTAGGGAGAATCGTGGAGTTCACATAAAATTTTTCATTCGGCTTTACGACATGAAACGATAAACTACCCAACAATTATTATAGCAGAAATTTATGTTTTACTCCTATCAAATTATAGAAGAAAAAGTCTGTGTCCAATTAATTTTAAAGCATCTCAATTTCTTCAAGAAAAAAGAAACTCCTAAACTCTACACAGCAAGAGAACAACAAAAGCATTTATGATCAAATATATTTCTATAATTTGGATTTAAAGTTACTTTGCATTGCGTAAATGTTATGAAAAGAGTAATTACATGGGTCGGCAACTAATTGTTCTTGAAATCAAGTTTGACGTCGTCACTAATGAGTACAAATGGCGCCCAGTACTTCTCCTCCTTGAAGGTTTCAGAATCTCTCATACACTTCATGGCTTGATTGAGAGCTTCAGTTGCCTTCTTGCCTTTAACAAGTGCATCGCAGAAGAAACTCATGAACTCCAGGGTTCCCTCGTCACCTATCGTCCACAAGGCCACGACAGATCTAGCGCCAGCACCCAAGAATGTTCGGGCGATGCCGACCACACCTTCGGCAATAACCTCCCCACGAGCACTGTGACAACAGCTTAGAACAACCAGTCGCGCCCGCAGCCCAGCTTCCATGACATCTTTCATCGTTGGTCGATAGTCCTTCTCTTGAGGCTAAGGGGTTTCTCTTGTGGTGTTTGGTGCCAGGATAGCTTCACCAGTTTCCATTTTACCATGCACTGCAATATGTATTAAAGCCACTGCTAAAAGTCGTTTAACACTTGTTCTAATTTTCGTATCATTTACCATCAGCCGGGAACCATTTGTCGGACATAACCGCCAATGGTATTCTGAGATTGAAGCGGGCAAAAACGAGTTCGTGTCGCACTTATCGTCGTACTGTTCTTCAAGTACAAGTTTTCAATCCGCTGATATCTCGATAGGAACACCACAAGGGACTTCATCTTTGGCTGCTTCTACAAGTAAACATCCTACAGATGGCACCTCCGCAGAGAGCAGGGGTGACAAACCACGGAGTAAAACACCGCACTTTCCCAACAGCCCGTTCGTGAAGGAGTTCCCCGTCGATTGTCTACCGGAGTTACCTACAGATCTGACGACGCTGATGGACGACAATTTCCTTCACTGCTGGAAATCTGGCGTTTGCCTTCGTCACCCATGGTTGTTCCTCCTGCTGCACTGCGTCGCCGACACTGGATCTGATCAACAGTTGATTCGAACGGAAGTAAGCCCTTGCCGTCAGGGTTGGAGGGTTTTGAGTTTCGCGGTGGACCACATCGACACGCTCATTCGCAAATGGTACCAAGAGTTACCGACGATGGATGGACAGCAACCCAAAGTCAGGCAGCTTGTTCCCTGTATGATGTGCGAAAGACTCGGCCTTGCAACCTCGTCATCATCATCATAAACTTTATTAATGTGTCTTGAATATCTGGCCGACGGGGTTAAAAACTCCTCTACTAATAGGGGACACTTAATAAAGTTAATAACCTACTAAATATTTTCTATTGAACTATTAAAAAAAAGCCTAACAATATATTTAACAATATAATGTAGTTAAAAAACCTATTAATCATCAACTAATGGAATAAATGATTAAAAATAATAAAGATTAATAATTAAAAAGGATGCAATTAGAACAATTGTCGTCTTCTACCATTACGCTCAAATTAAATTTACGGATACGATTTTTAAAACTAAATAAAGATGGGAGGGTTCTAATTTCGCTTGGTAGCTTATTCCACAACTTTGGTCCCAAGTAGGTGAGGGAATGTTTACCATATTTCTTGGTCCTAAATCTGAGGATGGCAAACTCCGCCACCCTTAAGTTGTAGGGTGAACAATGCGTGTGAAATAGCTCGCACACTATGGTGGGGCAAAGTTTGTGTTTATATATACGGATAGTAATATCTTGCAGTCTTCTGTTCTGAAGCGTCGTTAGATCACTCTTGTCCAGTAATGCTTGGTAGCTCGATTGCTTATCTAGGAAAACTGCGCGTAGTGCTCTTTCTTGAATCCGTTCGAGCTTTCTTTTATCAGTATCATTACAGAAATGCCAAGTGAGGTGGCAATAGGTTAAGTAACGCGATATGGTTGATTTACACAGAGTTAATTTAGCATTGGTAGAGATAAGTTTTTTAAGCCTCAACATTACGCCTACCTTTTGACTCGCCTTCTTACATATTTTACATTTTTTTACTTTACATATATTACATTTTAAGTCTCTTAATTTTTTAGCGCCTACTTATTTATATTCTTTCATTTCTCTTAGGCTCCTATCTAAATATAATCTAAGGAATTCTAGTGATAACCTTTTGCCTAGTTATCCGCGTTTTAAATCTATAGCTACACTAGGTGATCGTTCTTTTACCAGTGCTACACTGAAACTGTGGAATGCGTTACCATTTGACATAGGAAGCGCCAGCACAGTTAATATTTTTAAAGCCGAGCTAAAAACTCACCTTTTTCGTCATGCATTGTTAGCATATATAGTTGTTTTTATTATTGTGAGTTTACTTTTAACTGTAATTTTAGCTTTTTAACCTTTCCATTTTGTTTTTAATCTCGTCATGCGCATTTGAACATTTTATGGAATTTGCGCATTATAAATTTCCCATTATTATTATTATTATTATTATTATTTCATTAATGTGAGTGTTAAAATTCAATTGTTCGTCTATGGTAACTCCTAGCAAATTAAGACATTCAGAAGTTTCAATGGTGTTTCGTCGAAAGTGTAATCGAATGTTACTATCTGTACAGTTATGCTTTAAAGTCATAGTTTGATATTTGCTCAGGTTTCCTTTTAGCAGATTGCTGGCATTTTATTCGGAGGCCCTATTGGCATTCCTCATAAGATTGGTGTTAGCCATTTTCAGGTCCCCCGTTGTTTCATACATTTGATGGTCGATTTCATTTACAAGTTCAAGTTTACCGACTGTCAGCGTCAAAGTGCAAAGTCAGATTTAATCCGTTGTCCCAATCACCCGAGCTGGGAAGTTGATCTTCATAAGGTTGCGCTTGATATAATGTTTCATGACGTAGATCCTGACTTATTGTTGTCGCACGAAGGCGTTAGGTATAAGGACGCCGACTCGAGTATCCTCGGAAGTGGAGGCTTTGGAAAGGTATCTGTTTCTCCATTACATTGTACCGGTCTTTTTGTAACTGGTGTGAAATTTGCGTGTTAATGCAATTTATTATGGTTTCGGTGGAAAGAAAGTTTAAAATTTAGAATCGAACTGATGTGGATGGAGGTAAACTTATTATCTTCTGTCTTTTTTGCGAATTTATCGTGATAAGGGCGAACAGGAAGGTAACAAATGCTCTGCTACGAACTTTCCTTTTTCCCATGAAACTAAGCGTCCGTTCTAAGACCTCGAGCTATTTTTTCACCACTCATTCTCGGTTTGCTTTTATTTTGTTTTGTTTTTTTGCCGTTAGCTCCGCCCTGGCTCGCTAGTAGAAGACTCGTTGTTGATTTCCTCGCAGTTAAGAATTTTTTCGCAGTAAGAGACGGCCTTGATGAATTTTTCCATAGGGTTAGGGTTAGGCGACTACGAATGGTGTAACAGGCGTCTGCACCTGAAAGAGAGGCTATAAGGCCCCTTTATTGTATGGCAAGGTAGTCCTGAGCTGAATCCAAGCGTCCTGATTAGCTCTTACTTGGTCGGGATTTTGCCATACGGACCGTTTCCACGGAAACGGTCATAAGCCATGCCTTTTTCGTCGCGAAAGCTGGGAAATTTAAAGTAAATAAGTTTGGCCCGAGTGCTATATAGTAAGCTACTTATTTACCTCGCTTGCTCGAGCTGCACTGGGGAATATTGGTCTTCGGTCAGTTTCGCACGGACCTCGTGCCAATATTCCTTAGTGGGACCCTCGCACTCGGTCAGTAAGAAGTTATTCCTCTATGGGTTTCTGGAAGCATGCCTAACAGACGGCAGTAGACCGCCATCAACCGGCCTTTAGTGAAACCCCCCAGGTAAGGATATACCTTCAAGCTCTCTCAGCAAGTATCGCAAGAAAAACTCAAACAGGAAATGTAAAACAAAGGCCAAAATTGTTGATATAGTCTTCTTATCTCTTAGGTCGTTCGCGGGGAATGCCGACGACAGGCAGTCGCCATCGAGTTCTACATTAAAAGTGATGAATCCGAACCCTTCAGGCATTACCGCGAGACGCGCAAGGAACTGAACAAGCTACGTCGTGTACGACAGCATCCTTTCCTTACCAACATCATCAGTGTGTCTTTGTGCCCCTTGTGCCTTCTGCTGGAACTAGCAGAACGCGGGGCTCTCACCGAGATCTTATCCAGCCCAAAGTTGCTTGATCGCATTGTCCTCTTTCAGACTGCATATCAAGTTGCAGACGCACTGAGATTCCTTCATGGCATAGATGTCATCTATAGAGACTTAAAACCGGAAAACGTCCATGTTTGG